ATTACAAATTTGCTAATTTGTAATATTTTAATAAAAAACCTACATCTTCCATTTTAAGAATATTATGACAACAACATGACAAGTATGTTAAATAGAGGGAGTCACAAATGATTCACCTTCTCTGCCTCCATGATCTTCTTCAGCTCCTCCTGGAAGTCTCTGTGTCTCTGTCTCCTCCTCTCCTCTGTCTTCAGCTCCTCACAGTGTCTTTTCTCTCTGTGTTCTCTATGAGATTCTGGGCTCTTAATGGTCCTAACTCCAGGCCCCATATATTCATCTGTTTCAGCCTCATCTGTCAAAAGTGAAAAGTGAGAAAGAGAAAATTGTTTCTTTTCCCAGCTCTCTCTGATTCCATCCATGTCAAACTGTGCAGTGACAGTAACTACTTCAAATAAACTGCATAAAGAAGTGTTGAAAGTTGGGTTTATGTACATCTTCATAATTCCTGTACTACATGGATTAGAACAAAAAATAGGACAACAGGGACCTCTTGTGGGGAACAGTACTATTACCAGAGGTGATGGTAATGCAGAAAATAATATCGCAGGAAACTGCAATATTACTGACATAGTAATATGTAATTTAATCCTTTTACATTTGTTTTTGACTTTTTACTGTGGTTACTTTGTAAGCACCTCCAGTCAATACTGTGTTTAGCATCAAAACAACAATGTTTTTTTAAATCCCATTTATTGAAACTTCAGAGAGATGGTGCTTTTACCTTTTTTTTTTACTTCATTCAGTGAAACATGCAGCGTACCTTCACTGTCAGGGCACACTGACAAATTCTGAGAAAAAGGTGCCAGTGTCTCTCTGGGTGCAAAGAGGAGGTGAGTTTCAGCAGGAGAGGTGTACTCGTTTTCTGTGTCAAAGGTAACCTGTGACAAAAACATGCATTTCAGCAGATTGTGGGCCTATTGTAGTTTGGATTGGTCCAACAGTAAGAGACTAGGCATTTACCGGCTTCTTCGTCATGTCCTTGTCGAGTTCATCGGGCAAATTCTTCATGTCCTCAGTGTGACGTGATGCAGATAAGTCTGGGATATAGTTCAAAGAAAAGGCAGATGTTTTAAACAACAATGGAGACCATCGTCCTTTTGATAGGATCCTCTGAAGTCTTATTTGTTGTAGATATTTCTCTCTCTCTCTTTAATAATTATCTCAGTAGAGAAGCTTTAGCGCCCATGATCTTATAGAAGTATAAACATGTTGCTATTTAACAAGATTCCATACCTTCAAGTTCCTCAAGAATGAACTTCTCACTTCTCAATGCTCTGCTTTTTGAACTTTCAAAGTAACTGAGCAGAGATGGTGGAATATCATCGGAGACCTATTGACAGAAAGTAATTTTGATGTTACATTGGTCTCATCACATAATTCATATTTATGCTATATTTTAGAATACCATACAAGCCAGTAGCCTGTTCTTGCCACCAAGGTACAACAAATTATTTTCATCATAACAACCAGTCTGACAGAGCTCTCTCTCTCTTCTCTCCCCTCTTTCCATCTATCTCTCCCATTTTTTTCCACACACCCCAACTGGTTGAGGCAGATGGCCGCCCATACTGAGTCTGACTCTAGAGGTTTCCTCCAGTTAATGAAGGAGTTCTTTTTCCTCTCCACAGTCTCCAAAGTGCTGCTCATTGTGGGAACTGTTGAGTTTTTCTATACATTTTAAGGTCTCAACCTTTATATGCTATGATTTGGTGCTTAAAATTGAATTGAATATCTCCCTAATATCTGC